TAATTAGTTTATAAAAAAGCACTTTAAGCACACTACTAATAGCCTATATAAAATAAAAAGTAAGAAGACATTAATAAAGGCTAGGCATAAGATATAGAGGTAGCAGTAGAGTAAGTAAGCAGTAAAAAGCATAAAGTAAAAAAAATAAGCATTAATTATATAATAAGTATTATAGTATTAGTAATGTAGTAACATTTTTCTAAAGCTTAACACTTATAGTTTTATCTTCTTAGTTTGTTACTTTACTACTTGCAGTGCTGTTATTACCTATGTTTATAAGTTCTATAGCAGCAGCAGCAGTAGCAGCAGTAGCAGCTTAATAGTGCTATTTAAACTTTCTAAGATTCTTTTAAAAGTGCTTAACTATTTTATTTTTTAGCTAGAAGCGCTTACTAACTACTACTTTATAAAGATTTTTACTAAAGTTTAATATTTTTTATAAATCTTTAATAGTTTACTGCTTTAAGATTACTACATTTTATACTTACTTATAGTCTTTATAATTATTTTCTAGCTACTAAGTAATAATCTACTTAAAAAACTTTTTTATAATTACTTTTATATTTTTTTTACTACTTATAGGGCTTAAGCTTAGCACATAGGTAGAGAGCGCTGTTGCAGGTGTAATAAGACGCTAAGTAATTAGTAGTAGTAGTAATAGTAGTAAAGGTAAGTAAAGCTGCTATAAATAAAAAGAATAAGTAGGCTAAAAGTAACTAGTAGCAGCAGCAGGGCTATATAGATAGCCTATTAGCAGGCTAGGCTAGCTAAATCTAGAAAAGTTTAGCTGTAACCTTATATTTTTACACTAAAGTTAAACTATCTTATGCTACTTTTTTTACTACTAAGCATTATTCTCTACTTTTTACTTAGCCTACTAATGCTTATGCTTTTTTAAAGTGTGCTAAAAATTATGCTTAGAGTTACTTTTACTAGTAGTAGAACTACAGCGCTTTTTACCTTTACACCTACTTTTTAGCTTTAGCTAGTTACTACTACTAGTAGGGCTTTTTTAGTAATTAATAAGCTAAATTAAAAGTGTAAAAAGCTTTACTTTATTTATAAAAATTATATTTACTTAAGATTTTACATTTATAAGTAAGACTTTATAGTGCTTAAAGTTAGTAGTAACCTAGCACTAGCACTTAAAGTTTAGGCACTTACTATTACTACAACACTAGTAGCAGTAGAGTCTCTTCTCCTAGTCCTTCTGTGTGGCTATATTCTGCAATTACTATACTACTCTTACTTTGTTAAGTAGCTGCTAAGTACACTTTAGATTTTTTTTAAGTTATAGTGTTAATAAGTTAAGTATATTAAATAAAAGCTTATTAGTATACTAATTACACTTAAAAGCTTTTTATAAAGTAAGCGCTTTAATAGTAACCTTAATGTTTACTTTTACTACTTAAAAAGGCAGCTTTTTACTAATTTAATAGTTAACTTACTTAAAAAACTTTTTCTCTTTAGCTGTACTAAAATTTACTAGTAAGTGCATTACTTTTTACACTTTTAGGCCTACTTAAAAGTTAATTATATGCTAAATAATCTTATACTTATAGCTTTTAAGTTAAGCCTTTAGCATAGCTAGCAGCTTATTTACAACATTCTCTATGTTCTCTAGCTACTATATAAAGTAATTATGCTACTCTAGTGCATAGTAAACAGCGCTTTTTTTTATTAATAATTAGCTTATATTTAACTTTAAGATTATACTCTAGTGCGTTTAACAGTAATAATAAGTTAGTAAAGTAAATAAAAGCAGCTGCTATAAGCATAATATAGCTTACTATTAGTAAATTTAACTTAGCAGATAGATTAATAGTTACAGCCTTAGGCTACGTCTTAAGCGTTAGTAGTAGTAATAATAGTACAAAGTTATACTCTATTTGCGTAGTAACAGGCGTAGTAACTTAAGCAGGGCTTACCTAAGCAGCCACTAGGCCTATGTTAGCTGTTAAAGGCTTTATAAACTACACCTAATTACGCTGTAAGCGCGTTGTCTGCCCTTTAGTACACTTTATAGCCTTTAGTTGCACTTTTATAGCTTTTTAACATAGTTTTACTACTTTTTTATATGCTGTAGTAGCTGCAGTAGCTGCAGCAGCAGCCGCTGCCTCTGCTGCAGTTACAGAGGGTATACGCGCCCTCTTTAGCCTCTCTATAAGCATATTAACAGACTACAACACTAAAAACACGTTAGTATAGCTTCTATACATATATTTATATAGCCTTAAGTTGTACTAATAATTATTAGATAGTTATTACGCAATTCTTGCATAAAATAAGTAAATTTACAGTTTATGTGTAAGTTTGTACGCGTGCAGGGAAAATTGTTGTGTTGCTAAGGAATTCCACCGATTTTTGCACCAGATAGATTACGCGAGGCCGTGCATTACACGCTAAAACACAGTACAGCCTGTGATTCAGATTTGTTATTAGAGCACACCAAATGTTATTTTCTCTGATTCAGAAACGCGAATTCCTCTATTCATGAACGAGCGTCGACCAACAGCTCGTCACCTTCGAGGACATGGGATGGTAACCCGGTGCAAAGGTGGCGTTAATTGGAAATGTTGGTGACTAAGACTAAAGATTATGTGGCGTTCTCCAGACTTAGAGATCTGAAGGCTAAAAGCCTCTTTTGCTAATCTATAAAATGGCACCTACCGAGAAAGTATCTGCTGGAGACAGAGGACGAGGATGGAATCATCAACCTGAAGGGAGAACGGCAGGAAGGATTTGACGTGGCTACTCATGATAGTATGAGTAGAGGTGCTTGCCTTTTCTTCCACGAAGACATTGAGAACAGCGCATTATTAGCACAATGAAAGGCCTTTGAGAAATAGCTCTGGTAAGACTAGTTTAATTTCGGCTTACTTTTATCTATCTAGATGTCTGCCAATCTTTAGAGGTACACCTTTAGAGTAGCAGCACCCCATCTGAGCCTTAGCTACCGTTTCATCCAACTGCTAGCAGGATGTGTTAAGAAGTGCGCCGAATTTATCTGCTTAGTGGATACATATATGGATATGATCTGCTTCTGGACTAAGATGAAGGGCAAAGAAAGGAGGTAATTAGTAGAGATAGAACTAAAGACAACTCTATGCCATACGATAAAAATAGCTACCCAGTCTTTTATCTTACCTCCTACTTAAACAATCCGGTAGAATAAACTGTTTACCCACACAATGTACAAATAAATATAAGCTAAGAGTAATGTTCGGCGCGCACGCAATTCGCCCAGAGTCAGCCAGAACTGACGATGTGTGACGCTACAATAGCGTTCCAGGGGAAAAGATCCCACTAGTTGACCTGCTAAATAAATAGTGCCAATCATGTTAAGGACTAACGGTAATCGAGAGAGAGGATAATAAGCAAAAAAGAGAAGCTGAGAGCGAACTGACATTGATCATACCGGCCTACACTGCAAGTTCACATTTTCCTGCTTGCTGCAACACACAGTCTTCCTTCCCCTCGCAAAATTTCTCTTGTTGCAAGGGTTGAAACCTATGATCTGTTGTCCTAAATCTAAACTACTAAGAATTTGATTCTGTGCCGTAGAAATGGCACTCACAGTTTCCAAATCCTTGCCCGTTCGAGGTTGTTGTTCATGGTCCTCGTACATATGAATGTATATATGAAATCTAACTAATATCTTACTTTAGGCTCCTCTAGGTTTCTATCACGTTTTGCACTACCCTTTCCTGTATCCCTAAGTTCTAATACTACGATCTCTAACGTGAGCTAGAAGCCTTGATATGTTAGCGTGAACTGAGGCAGCTTGTTGCATTTCAATGTCTAGCACAAACGAGAAGCGTTATGATAAAGATCACAATCCTTCTAGCCTACGACAGACCTTTACGTGCCATTACATCAAAGATCACATCCTCGTGCACTGCAATCCCTAGCGTTCTAGAAAACCTAGACAAGGCTAGAGGAAGCGTTGACCGCCTTGGATTTTACCTCAGCTTTAGTTTTCCTTATCATTCAGGCATATTCTTATTTTCACCTTGTGTAGGTAGAGCCGGGGAATTGAAAAGTTCCATCATCATACGCTTTCCTCATAATATCCGCTAGCCAGGAGGAGTTAGAAGTACGTTTGTTGCTTCCATGTAGGTAAGGATATGGTAAATTAGAGTCTGCGGCATAGGAGGGAATGTAAAAAGTGAATAATGCATGGCGTGGGATAGTAGTATAGATGTGATGAATCATGGAATAGAATGGGGATGGAATAGAACCTAGGACTCGGACTCAGACTTAGATGTCAAAAACATCATCTCACGTCACCTCCCATCCAAACAGCGAGCCAGAGATCACTCGCTTATCCGTCCATGCAATATGCTCTACAATTCACTCGCGTTTCCAGGAATCCAGCATGCCCTTCAAAAGACGCCAGCGCAATTATCTAGTTAGTTTAAAAAAAAACCCTTAGAAGAAAAGCGTATACATCGAATTACCAGTAATTGTCTGATCAGATGTGCTTCCCATACATAAAAGCGGATATACATAGATACACCACCTCGCCCCAAAACGTATAAATGATCACTTATCAAATCCGAGCCTTCTCCCATATGCAATGATGCCGCTAAATTACTGGAGAGACATGCATTCCCGAACGTTTCTTTCCCTGACCCATCTAAACGCCTTCGCAGGAACATGCTGCGTTAGATAAAAGATAAGAGAGAGATGCTGAACGCGGAAAGGTATTGGACAGACTGAAATGCAATGGAGAGAGGCCATTTAGTTCCTCGCTGATGCAATGCAATGCAAACGAGAGAGCCGTATACCGAATGAAAATGAAGAAAAGAAAAACCGGGGATATCGATGACCCACCGCGAAAACACACCGTCAGTCCGACGCCGCCGCGGTCGTCGAATCGGCCTTTTCTAAGAAGCTCAATCTCGAGCAAGGAGCCGTCCGCTCGTCCTCTCCAAAAATTCTTGCATAAGATCATGCCCATTCGCTACCCACGACCACCGCACAGTCGAATCTCTCCCTCACCACCACCCAGTAAACCCTAGAAACTGATCGACTAAATCCACCCAATCCTGTCCATTCAACGTGCCCCTAGCCCTCTTCTCCCACAAACCCGTCACCAACTTCTGCAAATACAACCTCGCCTTCTCCCCCGCGTCCTTGGTCCCATCATTCCTCAACAACTCCACTTTCCCCCCCTCCCACTTCTCGCTTAAATCGATGCCGAAACTCGCATCGCCATCGGGCGGATGGTATTCCTCGACCACGGGAACGATGCCGCCGTTGATGGGCGCGTTAACGTTGGCGCCTATCAGCGCACCCATGGTGATGCTCGAGGAGTGGGACGTGCGTGGTTTGAAGAGGGCACCACGGACGGCGATGTTGACGAGCCGGAGCGAACACGCGCCTGAGCCTAAACGGATGATCCAGTCTTGGAAGGCGTCATACATGATCTTATATTCGAGTTTGATGATCCACGTATTGTAGCTGTAGAAGATGGCGAGGGCTTCTGAGCGGACGAGCTGAGATACGGAGGCTAGCGGGTGTTGTTTCTTGTTGGCGAAGGTGGAGAGGCAGTAGATCAGCGGGTGGGGAAGGATCAGGTCTGGGAGGTGAAGGTAGATCTGGTGGCGTAGCTCGGGAGGGAGGGTGAGGAAGGTGGGGGGGAGACCGTAAGAAGGCGCGGTCGAGGGCAGCGGGGGCAGCAAGGCGAGGGAGAGAGCGAGGTCTTCGGGGCCGGGCAGGGACCTCGGCGACTCGTCGGGCCGGTTCGTGGACGAGAAGACGGGCGACGAGGGGATTGACGAGGAGGAGCTATCGAAGGGCGACAAAGCCCAGTCGTCTGAGTCAGGGAAGGGATCCGTGAGGCTGTCCTGCGAGGAATCCACGTCCATGTCATCTTGATCCAGCCCTAGCCTCGCGATCTTCGTTGGTAGCTCCTGCGAAGACGGCGTGTCCGGCGAGGGAATCTGCGTGGCGGACCGCTTGGCCGACGTCCTGACTGTGTCGCCGCCCTCACAGAGCCCACAGCTCGTCGACTGCACGCTCGTGTCTAGCGCCTGCAGTTTGGGGCTCTTCATAGCAGGCACCCCGTCCGGCGGCGTCTGGCCAGTGACCGAGTATCGTCGCTGCAGTGGCATGGCGATGGCCGTGAGAGAGGGCATCGGAAGGTGAAGTTGCGGTGGTGATACGTGGATGTTGGGAGTTATTTAGAAAATTTGCTGGGGCTGATGCGTTGGCAGCGTGGCCGCTTTCCTCACGCGTCAGGAAGGGCTTGCGGGGTGGGATAGGCGGGGGCTCAATGGCAGTCGTTATCGATTAGGGGCAGGTGGGAGGATAGGCGTCGTCGTAAGAGAGAGAGCGGTTGTCTAAGCGAGTGCAGCGCGACTGAGTGGATTGTCTGGTCGTGTGCAGAAAGAAAAGAACAAAGAAGGTTGGGTAGAGAATGGCCCCAGGCGAGATGGGAATAGGGAGTGCACGACACTCTGTTTCATGCGGCCAAGGAACCTCGGACGCTGCACAAATGCGTCACGCTGAGCCACTTTCAATTTACTCCTTATCTCTGGCCTCATTCACTCACCTCACACAACAGAGCCCACCTTCTCCTGATCGTCTGCCTATATATAAGAGCCAGTTAAACGGCCGACCGGTTCTGAAATTGCCCAGGGTGGGACAGTGAAGCGTTGCGGATTCGGATCTGGGCCGAACGACTAGTGTTTTGTTGATTAGAAACCCCTGGTTTTTAGCTATGGCCACTGACTTTACTATGCTACGAGTATGCTTTGATACCGCATGGCATTATTTGTATATTTGTATATTGGCTGCTAATGTGTCCGTGTAGATTCCGATGAACCAAACGAGGGTCCCACGATTTCTGTTGAAGATCTCCAAGTCCTTGACTCTCTACTACCCAGTATTCAGTCTTCTCCTCCTCTCCCCGTCAATATATATATAGCAGTCTATCTCAACGTTTCGACGTGTTCCACTGTTGAAGTGGTGCTCGTCCTCCTCCATCTCCCCCAGCGACTGCCTCTTAAGTCCTATTCTTCACGCCGTTGAGCTTCTTCTCCTGGCTAACGGGCTCCCTCACCATGATATCTAATTGCACATTCTTCTCTGCACGCTGCAGATGGACCGATCGACGTTCCTCAAAACCGAACTTACGATAGATCGTCGGGTTGACTGGGTTGCTAGACTCAAGGTAGCATGGCCTGCCTTCGCGATCTGCCTGGTTGGTCACATGCTCAATCAACTTGCGAGCATAGCCGTTGCGGGCAGCGCTAGGCCTAGTGCCGATATAGACGAGGTACCAACTCTCGTCGTCGCGGTCACCAAGCACACCATGCTTGACGTCGTGAAGGAGGGGGAGGAATTCGTTGAAGAAGCGACGTTTGCCTTCAGTGGAAAGCCTATAGTTGAGACGCCACATGCCACTGCGGAAGATGGTCCACATGTCGTCCATGTTCTGGCCCGGTGGCATCCTTACATCAAAGTCAACAAGCAAAGGTGAAGATACGACGCTGGATACTTACCAAAGAGCGACCGCACCAAAGTCTCCAATGGTGGTTACGAGGCCCTTCAAGATGTGAGCATACGTCACATATTCGAGAATTTCGACATGCAAGTTCCATTTCTCCTCCTCCGACCAATGCTCCCGATCAGGGACATCAATGAAGTAGCGAGCTACATCATCCTCAGCAAAAGCCTCCGCCAAACACATGGCAGCCTCCTTGTACTCGGCTGCCGTGACGACGCGAACGCCATCCGTTGCTGGACGGAATGAAGCAGTGGGCGTGGGCTTCTGCTGTAGGATTGTGAAACTGGTGGGAACATCATTGATCTGGGAGTTAGCATGGTTCAAGGCTGCTTTCGGTTCGACAATTGCGATGCCGCCTGGAGCAGGGATAATGGTTTTGGCCATGATTGTGGGTTCGTTCTTTTCTCTCTACTAGTATTGAGGTGGGATCTGCCGCTTCTCTTGATGGTAAGAACAGCCGTGTAAGCAGCCAGCGTGATGGTGTTGTCGCTGGGACAATGCACAGCCGCCCAGAAGTATGTCACTTGAACAAGGTATTCCTATGTGCGAAAGACCTTCAGTTCAAATTCCACTGCTGTCATGCAATTAGTCTGATTGCGGATGGTTGTGGCCGGGTCAGTCAGGATTGCGAGGCAGTCCCTTGGCTGCAATAGTATACCTTTTCAACGACGATCAGTATTTACGTTTCCGCTGGGCGAATACTATCTCCCGTATGTACTCTTGAGAGCTGAGTTCTCGAGACTGATTCGACTCGAGAGGGAAACCGTAACGATGTAAAAGCTTGACGAATATCAACCGACATCAATAGGCGGAAGCTATATAAGCTGCCCTTGAGTGGTAAGTAAGTGGAGGAGGTGGGTGATCAATGCGGCTCCGTTGGATAACCAGTGGTTAAAGGACGTGGTTGGGAAGTGGAGTTAAAGGTGTAGGTGAATAGCGGAAGTAAATGTATGGCTGCGGAGCGCTCGGATCTTGCTTTTTCCAGCAGCCGTCGCTTGTCACAAGACTGCAGATGATAGCAGACTGTTTGCTGACTTGGCCAAGCAGCTGTGTTGGTGAAGTGGAGCGGAGAGTGGAGGATCGTTGGGCAAGACCGGCTGCAGCAGGAATGCGTGCGTCGTGGGGGTGAAGGAACGAGAAACGGTTGGTGCAGAGAAAATGGGTGTGACAATAGAGTTCCGCAAGGTGGTATTGTATCTTTCAAAGAACGAACAAAGATGGGGGAAGCGAAACTTGATATACCTCTCCACCCTCACCCATGTAACGGCGACAACGCCCCTCGGTAGAGGTGGAGGCCATGCTAGCAAGCCGGGCGGGACCTGACCTGAGACGATTAGCTCTCCCGTCCACTCACGTTGGTGTCTGGGAAGCTCGAGCCTAGCTGTCATTCGGGGAGTGCTGTCACTGCCACTCCGCTGATCCGCGACGTCTGTAAGAAAAGTACAGCTGAATGGCTTCACCCAGAAGTGGTGGAAAGCTGGACCGCTGCGGACAGCGCCTCTCGTAATGTGTAAGGCGAGGTCTCACAGGTGCAGGCAGCGTTGGTCCAAGAGTGTGGGGTGGATCAGGGTTGGGTGCTCGGTAGTACTTGCTACAATTAGGTAAGCTCGACGACACTGGAGCAGGGGGCTCCCGTGAATCGCTGCCAACATTCCTACATTCAAGGGACCAGGTTCTACAATTGAAGATGTGCCCTCAAAAATACGGAAGGCTTCCGCTGTCTACCTAGGATTGTTTACTCCAAATACCATTTTCTAGATTATTTCGAGGTCGCATGAGCACTTCCCTCTCCTGGAAGGCGCTGACCGCCGTAAACCGTTTGTCACCGAAAGAACTCGATAGGAGGATTGTACACGTTCATGCAGGCCTGAGAAAAGCCATCGGCGGTTCCATGACTAGCACTACGTGGGGAATGATCAATTGAATCGAGAGCTGGATTGGATTGGGTTAAAACACTGCATGGTATCTTTTGAAAACAAGGCGTGCATGCTTTTGCATCGCCCTTTTGGAATCAGCCTTGCCCCAGACCAATGGAATCAAAAGGCTGTCATGTAGCCCCTCAATTGAAGCCCGACTGCACAATTACTTGGTATCTCAGTCAAAATATCTAGCTTGAGTTTCACTTTGACAACTGAGATATCGGTTGGTCTACAACATGCGGCGGATCTGCGTCTCTCCTGTGTATTTCCCCAGACCAGAGTCAAGGTGATTCCACCACTCGAACAGCATGCTCTCGCAGATAAGCTTGAACCAGGGTGTGAATTTGAGCGACTTGTCCTTAAACATAGCTTTCAGATCGTCCTGGGTAACGTAACGAGTGTCTCGGACTTCGTTGAGATTGGCGTCAATGTCAACGTTCGCCTTGATGAAGAGGATGTAGTCGACTGTGGCATTTTAAGCATGGCCTCCAAAACAGACAGCCGTCTTCTCCACAGCCCAGAGACAGTTAAAGAGAAAGCCCAACTCACTTTCGTGTTCGCCCCATTTACCGTCGCTGGGCGATTTGTAGTGTATCCTTGTGAGAAACTTAAAGTTGTCCAGAGGTACCTGAGATGCCTTGATGCCCAGCTCGTGGTCCAGCTTGCGCTGCGCTGCACGACGCACGCCCTGTACCGATGCCTCCAGCCCGACGCCGGTCTCTCCTGGTATCCCCAGCGGATGTGAGCAGCAAGTGTTCGTCCACATATCGGGGAAGGTGATCTTCTCGGTGGCTCGTTGCTGGAGGAGCAGTCGGTTCTGCGAGTCGAAGAGGAAGACGGAAAAGGCTCGGTGGAGCAGCCCTTGGTCAATATTCTCCATCAAATGGCCTCAACGCCAGTTAGTACGTTGGTCGAGGCAATCGAGCCTTATGCGCTTTCTAGGCTAGTGTGTGCTAACTTACAGACTTTCTTGCTCGCGCTTCCGATTGGGATATCATTCTCGTCTAACACAATGCAAACCTCGTCCATTAAACGGATCTGTTCTTCGTCATATCCTTCCAAATCATTGTCGCTCGTAGCGGAATTGTGTGTGCCGCCAATAAGTGTAGTGTTGACCTCGGGGAAGAGGCGCAGGACATTCTCAGCCGTAATTGCAGGTGCCTGGGTGACGCTAGCAGTGGTACTCATGGTTGTGATTCGAATTGGTGCTAAAATGAAGGTTTCTGAGAGTGAATACAGTGCTCGTTGAGGGTGTTGAGCTTGAGGGACGGATGGTCCAAACAAAGCTTTATCAATTTTAGGCCAAATGCGATCGAGACCCTGGCTCCAAATTGTGGCGCACGAAATCACGTGCACTCACCAAGCCCGGTTTACTTTGGCACTCCGTGATTGGTCCATATTTGGCATATTTAGAATGTTTGCTTTCCGTTGCTTAGGGGACCTTTTAGTGCACAGCAACCACACGAAACTGCGTCTGATGAAATGAAGTACAGGTGTATTGTTGCATGGCCTTCATTACTGACCAATGAGAACTTTTGACGTTCTTCTATCTGCACAAACCTATTGATCAGGCATGGTGAGGATGAGGTATCAAAGGAAATGACTTTTCCGTGGCCGGAATATGCAATAGATGACCGAACCCCAATCCGAGAATGAATGAACCAAAAGCACGGAACTCCAGGTGACTCAGCATCACAGATGGCTGGTTCTCTATGCAACGGTCGCTGTCTTCGACTTCTTAGCCACTGGCACCTCAGCCTCTGCATCTGCTGTTTCGTCCAGCTGGCGCTTCTCTTTTTCACCACTAAGCTCCCTCTCCGCCGCCAAGAACTTCTCCTGCTCTTCGGCAGTCAACCCCTCGAGAAGGGGCCTCTCGTCCTCATTATGGAGGTTGAAGTGGAACGCTCGGATAATCGAGTCCGTATCATCAATGGCGATCTTTCTGATATCTGCAAGGGCTTTAATCTTGGCGGTCACAGCCTTATATTGTGCGTCGGTCATCTTCAAGCCGAGCTGGTCAGCACGGCTCTTGATGGCATTCCAGCCAGTTAACCTGCTCGCGAAATGGACATAGCGGGACATGCCAAAATCGGCTGGGTTGATGATTTCATAGGTAGATGGGTTGTTAAGAACTGGAGTCCGTCAGTGACTCGTCCTTTTTCATGAGCATGATATTCACTTACTCGCTTTAGCGTGGATACCGGCCTTGTGCGTAAACGCACAGAAACCGGTAATGTAATTGTTGAAAGGAATATTCACTTCGACATAGTCGGCAACAAGGTCCTCAATGTCTTTGAGCTTCTTGAGATTGTACTTGCTGAGAACATAGTCACGGTCGGCGGCCATCATACGGGCCATTAGGCCACCGAGGGGTGTAATGCCGTTCCTCTCACCAATACCCAGAACTGAGGTATCAATGTGGGTTGCGCCTGCTTCCAACGCACAATATGCATTAGCAATAGCGCAGCCAGTATCGTTGTGGAAGTGCGTCTCGATGTCGCAGCTGACAACACCCCTTAGGGTCCTGACTAGGTCATAAACCTGTCTTGGGCTGGCGCATCCCACGGTATCAGCGATACCAACACGGTTCACGCCGATCTTGTCAACGGCGCTGTAAATGGAGAGCAGATCAACCAGGTCTGACCGGAAGGAATCCTCCGAGGAGAAGCGGATTTCCTTGCCCTTGGACTTGACAAACTCAATGACTTCAATGGCTGTGTTCCTGATGTAGGTCATGTCCTTGCCGTGTGAGTATTCCCTCAGGTAGCTCGACGTTCCGATAACGACATCAAGACCATCTACGCCAGTCTCGACGGCGATCTTAGCATCCTCAAGGTGGCACCTCACATGCGTGAGGATCTTAGCCTTCAATCCGAGCTTGCAGATGGCCTCGCAATCCAGTCGTGATTGCTCGCTCGCAGCGGGGCTGGTGAGTTCAATATCTGTGCAAAAGCGGTAAGTCTAGAGGCTCTGTAATTCTTGAGAGGGGTAGGTTCAGGGGTCCGTACAATCAACACCAAAATCATCGAGCGCCTTGGCAATCTTGATCTTCGCCTCCAGGTCAAAGTAGGCACTGCAAGCTCAATTAGCGACTGCACAGGCCAGGCCACATAGGACGATGCCTACTTTGCGAACTGCTCGCCCTCACGCAGCGTCGACTCAATGATCTTGAACCGACTGACATTGGACAAGAAATCGCCTACGGGCTGGTACGGACTCTTGTGGTGAGGATGGGGGTTATGGGAGCTCTGGATAGCGGAATAGCCTGGGTGGCTGCCATTAGTACCATTGGTTGTGTTTGCACCGCCATTGGCGCCATTGGCAGGCTTCTCTTCGATGGGAGGGCACATGATTGTTGGTGGGGAGTGTGGATGGAGGGACAGAAAGTTGGCGGAGCAGATCGGGGGTATTTGAAGGCTGGGAAGAAATTATTAGTGAGTCAAGGCCAAAATTCTCTTCCGTTGCCGATGATGATGAAAAGGCCAGGGCCGCGATCGGCTCTGCCATGGTAGCCAGCTCAGGCCTCGAAGTGGTCCAGGCTACGTGGAGGCGGGGAAGCCGCTTCTCGTCGAAAGGTTTTCCAGCACAAGCCCAGCACAAGCCCAGCACAATCATGCACGCAGGCAATCTCTGTTCCCCCGCAAACGCTGGGGAGCGGCGCTGCAATTCACTCAAGAGTGTAATTAACAAATAGCACTCTAGCTGTCTGCATATCTCGGCTTGTTCCGCTTCACCGTCCTACACCTGCATGCCTTGCTTCGACCTTACTCGTCGGAGCTCTCTTGATCTTTGTTACAACGCGACCTCTGCAGTAAAACCTGGCCGGTGGAACGGAGGCACTGGGGAATATTTGTTGCATTCAGTCGCCCTTGAGCCTAGAGTGGGCTGACCTGGATGAGTTGTTTAAGTGAAATTCATCTCTCAACCTCGGAACATTTTATCGCTCCATCGCTCCTAACAACCGACCGTTGCACGCTGTGCAGCATTGGTAACCACACACCACAATCTAATCTCGATGCAGGCCACCCTCAACTTGCCCTCTGCAGGTCTGAGAACTTTCCCGTGACGGCTTTGCCGCTAGACCTGTCTTGAAGATATTTGGACCCAGAAAGTCGTCCGTCACACCAGGAATAACATTGTCTGCAAAGATGTGGTAGTTTGGATAGCAGAGCTTTCTCCCAACTCCTCCAATTCTAGGGATATGTTGACCGTACTCATCTTCCCAAGCGTTGGCCTCGTCGCGCCTTTCACACAACATCTCCTCATCAAAGGCCCCAGATTAATTTCTGTAAAGTCTGGCTCTTCGGTGTAGTTGAAAGTCAAAGCGCTGACACATGTCCCGCGGAGACCGCGGTAGCCTTCCGAAGATGAACTATAAGTCCTTGTAGCAAGGGTTGTCCTTAAGAGGGGGCGATATGGTCGCGGTAGGGAATCCGCAATTCTGGGGAAAGAGGCTGCCCCCATGCTTGCGGCACATGGTACATTGGCATACTCCATTCTAGGAACGTCAGCGAAGCCATATCGAAGGCCATATATCAGCTCATACGCTCTTAGGAGGCCAATTCTCATCGTTTGGAAAGCTGATAGTGAATCTGATGGCTCCGCAGAGGCATCCGCGTGATATGTTTCCAGGTCTATCCATTCCCTATGAGCTTAGCAGAATCTGACTGGAAATGGAGTAAAAGGGGGAGTGAGAGAAACCTTGACAGCTGCTGAATTTATGCAACCAAGCTTGTCGGAAGAAGGGCGTGCCTGTTGACGTCGATTAGGTATTGTAAGTGGCGGTCGCCCCACGGCCTCTGTCTTAGATCTAAAGACCTTCAAAACTTCCAATATATCTAATAGTATCTAAGAATTATTCACTTGAATTTTTGTCGATCACTGAAACGAGGGGACTATCACACTATCTAAAGCCGCTAAGGGTATGTAGCATGGACATGCGCTAAGACTGGGCACAAGTGAACTGCAGAAGATGAGTACGCCTCACTTTCCGTTCACACATTTGGACTCGAACTAGTTTGATACGTGATGTGTGATAGTTGATTATTGTCGCCAGAATATATGTGAAAAAGCATTGTCGGGATTAGTCAGCGAGATGTTGCACGGTCCGGGCCACTTCGGTATTCAACCAACATGCTTCGACAACCACATCCAAGCTTAGGTTCATACCTACCAGTCATCTCCTCAGCCGTCGCTCGCTCTTGCTTGACGAGCTCACCAGGGGAGCAACAATGCATCACATCTCGTAGCCACTGAGCATGACACTCTTTACGGCGCTCTCAATCTATCCGCTCGAATAACCCACCATTCTCAGCAGTGCCAGCCCCACAAGCGGATACCACCCCCGTTTGCTGCCCACGATGGACCAACCTCTCTCCTCGCTCACCAATGCGACCTCGTTCCTTCCTTCCTCGTCGGATCTACTCATGGCAGTGCCTCGTCTGCTTTCCAGGGCGGGCTTCTTCGCAGAGCATATTGACGGCATCTTCGGCAAGATCCGCGCGGGTGGTATCATGATTGCGGAGCCAACCACGTCCAACATTACGAATGCCACCATAGCCACCACGTCTAGAACTTTCATTCAGGAATCAGTTGCGGCAGCGGCGAGTGCGACACTTGTAAGCCAGGATGACGGAGTATTCTCTCCGCTACAGGCATTGAAGAATGTTGGGTCTTTCTTCGGCTACATGACTTCAAAATGGGCAATTGGTACCTTCACTGCGGTGAGTTTTGGGACTTTCTACGATTACATTGGTACAATCTACTGTTTGGGGGGGACTACTCGCTAATTCTATGCAGGCAATCCTGCTGAATCGCACCCACTTCTATGCCTCCAGCCGAATTCCCCTCTCATTCAACAGAATGTATCTCCGCTTTGCGATATACATACTCCCAATGATGCTATTTCTATATCGCATACAAGGCATCCTTCGGGCGCTACGCTGTCAGACCTCGCCCAGCTGGTCTCAAATGCAATACGGCGCCCCGAGCAAAGAATTAGACACGGATTTCGCTGGGGATGGTGGTTTATTATGGAAGACTGCTTCGTCTCTGCTCTTCTGGGAAGGCTTGGAGGCGTCTTGCAAAGCAGTCAACATGTTTCCCCCGGACCCCAGCTCCACACGGCCCGCTGGCTCCCTTGCGTTGCTGTGGCCACTATTCCTTTCCCTCGGGTTTGGTCAATTCGTAGAGACCATGTCTTGTGCTCTTCAAGGCCTTCCGCAAATACAAGAGGTCGGGATGACTATCTTTGAGCATTCCTTGGCCTTCGCCGAAGCCGAGGCAGTTGTTACCAAGCCCCTAATTGATTCTCCGCGTTTCTGGAAGCCGAAGACCGTTTTCACTCCGGACGGCAATTCACTGTCCCTAGCCCATGCGTCCCTGTCACGGTTTGCCAATGTGCCACCTGAAGTCCTCCTGATTTCTTTGATATCAAGCTTCAGTCACCTGACGAGCAATTTTCTTGCAGTCGTTGGGCTTCGGACACGATTTCGACTCGTCACAACAGGCATTTGGGGTTTCGCGTACATGTCCGCATTTGCGTGGAGTTTCATCAAATTTGCCACCGCCGTTTCAGAGCCGGGACCTCGGATTGGAGTCATCCGATTCCCTACTGTTTGCATTGTGGGTTTCATTCCCCATCTCATAATTTTGGTGGGCATCTTAGCCTGCGGCGCGATCTATCTCCTTGCGTTTGGTCTCACATTGCTTTCGCCACCCCCCGGCCAACCTGAGAACCTTACTTGGCGAGAACGATTTGCTGTAGCGTATGGGAATCTACATGCAAACATACATCTATCGGCCATCACCCCGCTGACTATCAGCTGGCACGAGGATTTCTACACAGCGATTCTGAAGGTCGGCTTCACTGTCCTCACAGCGGCAAGTGAAGCGGTGTATCTCAATGAAGGGTCGGGGATTAGTGTGCATCCAATGACATGGCTCGAAAAGAAACGACTCCAGGAACTTCTTACTCGACGACGGCGAGCTCGAAGGAGTTTTGCTACCATACCACCAGAACTTCGTGGAAATGGCATCGCCGAAGGCATCGAAATCGACGATTGGAGTATATGTGACGATTCTTCCCCGTATCCTGCCTCCGGATATGGGAGAGAGAGAAAGACCGGGGAAGCCGCCGCCTCCTCCAACACTTCCAGAGTTCTTGGAAGAGACAGCGGTGTTGGACTTTCGCAACGTAGAGGGCGCTGGACTTTGACCTACCAGTTTCTAAGAGGCATCTCCCTACTGCTCGTGGCTATTCAGGCAAAGATTCTCATGTCTGTGCTAGGAAAGCTACGGATTGCCTACAGTCCTAGATGGTTGGTCCGGCTTGCCAGACCTCAGTCCAACGAAAAGACATCACCTTTGACTTCAAGGCAATTCAGCACAGGAGCACAGATAGAGGCAACTCGGGTTTTACGGCCATCAGAACCATGGTTGGTTATTGATGAACAGACTCGCTTGCGACCTTCACTCGACTTGGACATGGAAGAGTTCGCCAGGAAAACACTGCGTACTGCTGGCTATTACGAAGAGCAAGGCAATAAAGAGACCGAAGAACATCTTACAGAATATCTCTACAATTGGTGGAGAACAGGCGGTAAATGGGGAGACGTTGACACTAGCGGAGACTACATTCCTGCTCAGGATGACGATACCATAAGTATCTCCTCCACCACCACAACGGATCTCAGCAATGAATGGTCAGACATGGATGATGGACGGAAGACGCCTACCAGAAGCTCGCCGTTCGTGCACAATCAAGAATCACCTCTAATATCAGAAAACTTCGTCCATATTTCTAATCTCTCTCGCCTCCTCGATCCCCAAACACAAGAGGACCGAGAAGAGGCTCGACTTCTGTCACGGCATTTGCAGACTCCTGGAATCCTCACGCGGTCCCAGTATCGAATGCTAGTCGAGCGTGATGAAGCTCGGGTCTTCACGTCTTCTTCTCGTTATCGGTTGACAGGTTTTGGAAACGGCCAAATGACAGCAGAACAGGAGGAGAAGTTGCTGGAAGAGTACATTGTGAACCGCCGGAAAGTCACCATGGAAGCGTCTGGCCTAGGTACCTCCGCTACCTGGGATAATGGTGCTGAGGGCATGGGGTCGGAAGGCCCACAATGTGTTGTTTGCCAAATTAGTCCGAGGACTGTCTTGGTCTGGCCGTGTGGATGTCTGTCGCTATGTGACGAGTGCCGAGTTGGTTTGGCGTCGAAGAACTACACGACATGTGTGTGCTGTAGGACGAATGTTGTGGCTTACTCGCGTTTGTACGTGCCGTAGATGCATAAATGAGTCTAGATTGGAGGGAGCATTTGGGCTAGCGTTATATTTCTTTGTAGATATGTTTGTGTATATTTCATTGTGTTCGTTCGGCCTAAGAGCGCTTGGAGAAATTCTCCACGCTTGAGCGATGTGGCAGCGCTCCCTATTGTGGTACCATCGTAAATAGATACTTGGCTAACACCGGTAGCTAAACATGACCACGTTCTTAGGCGAAACACCACGACTTCGGGCTCGTCCATGAAGGGTCCCATATGCCATTTAACATGTCTCGAAAAATGAACGGATTGAATTTAGATGAGGCAGAGGAGCTGAAGCAATAGCCAGCGCTTCCAACTGTACGTAATACAATTCAACTTGACTAAATCTAGAACGTTACGTCTAACTTTCTTAGTACGTTTCTATATAATTAACATAAAGACTACTTACAAATTTTAACAATAATAATTAAGAATCCTTATACAGCTTAATAACTTAGCAGAAGTTATAATATAACGCTAGAATAAATATAATCTAAAAGAGCTAAAAGCTTAGAGTAAATTACTCTTTAGCAGAGCTAGTTCTTTTGTAATTAAAAAGCCTTAATTATCTCTTTAGAAACATAGTTCTTATTAAAGTAGCAAGTTTTTCTTTTACTAAAGAAGGCTTTCTTGCAGTTATAGAACATGCACAAGATAGAGAGGAAATTAAAAGCAATTTTAAAAAGTGTAGAGTAGAAGAAACTTTTTACTTTTATTTACTATATATAAGAATCTATAAATAAGAGGCTGTTATTCTTAGCTATAGTAAAGTTCTTTTAATTAAATCTATAATACTACTATTACTTTAAAGTTTTCTACTATCTTTTATATAAGTAATTACTAGTAAGAAAAGAAATGTTTATAAAAAAAGTTTTTTTTAAATTTATTATTATAATAGTTGCTAACGTACTCTACAGGCAAGTTGCTTATACACCTAAGTTGCTTACTTTTACTAAGACTCTACTAAACTACTTTTCTTATACTAATGTATTTCTAATAACACTACTTAAATATGCTAAAAGAATATTAGATATAGCTTACACTTTAAGCTTTTAAATAAAACATAACACACTTAAAGTAACATACTACAGCTATAACAACTAGCTATCTAGGTATGTCCTAGGCCAACATAGCCTAGCCTAGACTACACTAGGCAGTCCTAGACAACTCTTAACTTGTACTATTAACCCTGCACTTTCTAGACAACGCCTACCTTGCCTAAAGCTAAGCATTCTAGAAAGGTAATACTTTAAATTTAACCTATAGCATACTAGATTTGTTGCTACTAGCGCTGCCATGCCTGGCTCTCTAAAGAAGTATATAGCTAGCTGTAGAAACCCTCTTTAGATAGCAGAGGGTTGCCTTAGAAATTAGGCAGGTACTAATTATACTTCTATGTTATAGTTATACTCTTGTTAGTTAACGCACATTTTAATTTTAAAGTGTATACCCTGTTTTTACAATATCTATATATAAAGTTTTTTAAAAATAATAAATAACTAATATACTAAATAACTTATATAAGCTAATTTTATAGCTAACTTATAAAAGCTAAGTAATTGTTACAATCCTTGCTTTGTAGAAGCACTTAGGTCGTTGTTGTTCCTAGTAGGGTAGGACGGAAGGTAGGGGCCGACAGCAGAGTGTACAGTCCTAAGTAATGGCTATTAGGCTAATAGAGTAAGGTAGGGTGACTAGATTATAGTTTGTCTCTATAGCAGCAGTATAGTAGCTAGGTTAAACAGTCCTGTTAGACAGAATTAGAGGTATATATGTTGTAAGATATATAAATAGTATTACAGCTTTTTAAAAAGCTAGAATGCTACTTAGTTTATATAAAAAATAAACTAAACATTAAACACACCTTTTTAAAAATTGTTTAAGGTTAGAACTATATACATATGTAATAGTGCTAAGAATAAGTTAGATAAGTTTACTAAGTTTATAGCATAGTAAACTTACTTAACTTATTAAACTTATTTAACTTATAGCTTATCTTTTTATTAAATAATACATTCCTTTATAATCTTAGGCAGCTGCGCTGCTTCTGCATCTTCTAATTAGTCTATAAACAAGCTCTACTCTAACCTAGCTAGATTATAGAGCACTTTAGGTAGAGTTATGTTAGTCTAACTATAGACTATAACATGCTGCCTCCTCTCTCTAGCAGCGTCCTTGCTGCTCTGCTTACACAACTACGTTAGTAAAAGTTTACTTATAAAGTAAGTGCCTACCTACTAAAAGGTGTTTGTAATATCTATTTTTTTATACTATATAGCTTATTAGTCTTATTTATTTTATTATTCTTATACTACTCTCTATCTTAATCTTTTTTATTAGATAAAGATAAGACTCTGTAACATTTACTAGTTATTAGAGTTATTTTATATGCTAACTCTATTCTTAAACAGGTGTATAGAATGTGTAAAAAAAAAAAATTAGTGTAACACCTTTATTTCTAACATAGTGTAAGACTAGTTAGAAAAAGAAAAGAAAAAGCTTTTATAATTTACTAAGGCTTTACAAGTTTAAAAGTAAAAGCTTTTAAAAAAGTAGATAGAATAAATCTAAAAGCAGATTTATTTACTATAAAAGATAGTAGAGGTAAAGAAAAGAGAGTGTTTTAAATAAGATTATATCTTAAAATTACTAAATTTGCTAGAGGTTTATTATACATAGTACTTAAAAGAGGACCTTTTCTTCTTAGATAAAATAGCAGCTTTTAAGGCAATAGTAAAGAGTTAATTACCTCTCTAACTTTTTTTATAAGTACTTGTCTTTAAAGGCTGCTGCTATCTAATAATAATGTAGCTGCTTTTTTTAAGATAAGTGCTTTATTGCTTAGCTAGTTTTTTTTTTTTTAGAAAAGTCTAAAGATACTTTTACACTAACTATTACACATTTTATAGGTTTTTAGCTAGTTTTTAAGTGTTTTTACTAGTAAGCTATCTAAGCTATCTAAGCTATTTTACTATTTTACTATTTTTTTATTTTTTTATTTTTTTATTTTTTTATTTTTTTATTTTTTTATTTTTTTATTTTTTTATTTTTTTATTTTTTTATTTTTTTATTTTT